ATATGATAAATCCAGATGAATGCTTAATGATACTTCCATGCATGCTAACTGCTAAAAGTTTCAGTAATGATTATTTTATGCCGTATGGAATTGGTTTTAAAGATTTAACTCGTAGAATTAATTACATTTCATCACATTATAACGCAGAGTTTTGCTGTATGACTTGGAGTCAAGGAGAAGACGATTCTATAACTGGTTGGTGTGATAACTATGCATATATTCTAATGAATTTTATACAAACCATTAGAGATTACATTGCATACTCATCAAACCAATTTGATACATTGCCAAACTCACAAATAAAAGCAAATAAAATGCTATTCATTACATTTCAAATGCTATCTTCATGGGTTCAAGCAAACTCAACTACAGCAACTCAAGTTCAAAATGCATTAGGAAATATTATAAATTATTCTCCATATACAGCTAGTATATCTCTAGATGGTATGCCTCCCAATCTAAGGAGTGCAAATTTCGATGGAGTACATTATGATTCAAGACAACAAATATTTTTAGCAAAAAAATTTTTTGAAGCAATACCAATTGCAATGAATAATATATATGGAGGTGGTTATGGAACACTATATATTTCTGGAGAAGTATTATTAGTTAGACAAGTTGCTGGATATTTATTTCTTAACAATTATTATAGTGCCTATAGAGTATTTAATTCTACTCCATCTACTGCTCAAATATATAGTTCATTATTTACTAATTGGCAGTATAAAAACAATGATGGCTATTATAAATATAGGCTTAAATATAAAATTAATGGTGTATGGAATAGTATTATATTTAAACAAGCATTCCTTCCAATGATGTCTATGGCTTATCAAAATGTTGCACAACTCATATCAACAGATACACCATTTGGATGTACAGAATTAGGACAAGGATTTTGCGGTTTAAATTTGACAACTACAAAAAGCTTGATGAATTCTGGAGCAGTACTTACACTAGATACAAGTGGTGGTTATTGGGCACCTGTATGTCAAAATATGAACTATGTATATAATGGACAACCTGCTATGCCTATATTTGATAATTATATACAAAATGGTACTCTTCCATTTGTAGCAACAGAACTAGAATTATATGCTATAAGAGATTAGTGAATATCAATCTAGATTTTCATAAGCAAATCCAGCGCATGCGCACTGAGCAGATCATAAGATCAATCTGAATATCACGTGACCTGTGACGTCACGCAATAGAAACGAAATTGATACTAATTTTTAAATCTTAAAAAATGATTTAGCGTAGCATTGATCACGAAGTGACCTAAAAATTTATTTCTTAGTTATAATATTTATACACACTATGAATGATAATGAATCATATATTTTAATTAAATATATGATTGAAAATATGGTTGAAAATGAAAAATGTCCCCGAACCGGCATTTTCCTACTACTGCAAGGTACTTTGAAACTTCATTGAAAATAAATTTAAAAGTTTTTGAAAAAAAATACTTCTTAAAACTTCTTTGAAAATAAATACTTATTTTTAGTTAACTAAAATCAGGTTGGTCAAAATGATTGTTGCATATAGAGAAAATGTTGTTGTTCAGTGACCTTCAAGTCATTTCATTGCACTGCTTAGAAGGCAGGTGTTAAAGTCTCCAACTTGGAAAAAGTATGAGACAAAGGTCTTTAAATTGGGTGGTAAACAGAATTTACAATTAAAAGTTGTTCCACCATTATTAAATCTTATTCAAAAATGTATGTGAACATTTTTGAATAAGTTTTTGAAAAATGTGTTTTTATAAATGTTAAATGCTTATCTTTATTTGAAAATTCATTTAAGTTTAAATGGTAAGAATTGTGCAAAAACTAAACGTTTGTATGTTGAAGAAAAAATTAAAGTTATTAAAAACATAGTATATTTATTGCTTATTATTATTATAATAATAATAAGCAATAAATATATTATAATATAATATATATATATATATATATATATATATATATATATATATATATATATATATATATATATATATATATATATATATATATATATATATATATATATATATATATATATATATATATTTAAACAATTTAAAATGTATTCTACAATAAGAGTGCTCAATGTTCTTAAAAGAACAAAGCAATTACAAATTAGTAGAAAATCACTTAGCAAATTTTTTTTCTCATTTAACACTGTGTTTCATCAATAAAGACTCATCAGAAATCTTCTGATAAGTCTTTATTGATGAAACACAGTTTTAAATGAGAAAAAAATTTTGCTAAGTGATTTTCTACTAATTTATATATATATATATATATATATATATATATATATATATATATATATATATATATATATATATATATATATATATATATATATATATATATATATATATATATATATATATATATATATATATACATATACATATATATATATATATATATATATATATATATATATATATATATATATATATTTAATTTTTTTGTGGTTAGCAAAGTTTTCCATAATGCCATTTCAAATTTAATAAATGAAATGAAATTGCCATATTGTATTTTAGGAGTTTCAAAAGAAAAAGAATGCAACAAAAATACTAGGTTAAAGGTTTGAAATAATTTCATTTTAAAATTATGTATGCATCATTAAAAATGATTAATGGATTAGGAATTGCTTAACTATTCACTACAATGAAAAAACATCATGAATATGAAAAAAGTTAATGTTTTGTTTTTTTTGTTTATTTTTAATGTATAAAGTTAATGTTTTGTTTATTTGTCTATATTGTTTCTTAAATGCTAATCTTTATAATAAAATAATTTTAGTTGTTTTTTTCAATTTAACTCTTTCAATACCAGTCACTCGCTATGCGGGGTATGATATTTTTTAGTAAATGTGACCACGCTAAATACAGCATTTAATTATTTCATCAAGACTAAAAAAAGATTTTTAAAAGATTTTTAAAAAAGTTGTTTGACAGCCATTTTTTTGACAAACAAAACAAGGTCTCATTTGTGAAACTCTGACAAATACTTTTTATTCTATAGTCTTTTGATTGATAATAAGAATTCACTTACAATTGTTTTTTTGTATTTTGCTTGGTAACAAAAGGGTTAATGGTTTATTAAGCACAACAAATAGTAATGCTTTTAATGATGCCATGTTTCCAAATCAATTCTTACTGAATTGATTGTTTGTTTATCCATTCCAATTTGGAAAGGACCCAACTACCCAGCTGGATCTTATTAAGTAAAACATTTTCATGTTGCAAAATTTTTTTTAACTTTTTTTTTATTCATAAATCTAATTATACTTATTTCATAGTACTTTTACATTGTAATTTCAAAACAGTTTGTGCTTGGTAACAAAATATACATTGGCCATGTAAAATTTAGCAAATGCAACAAATCACATGGCACAAATAGATTTGTAAATGATCTTTTGGCGTCAATGGTGGGAAACACAAGTTATCTAAGTGGTACCTGTTTATCTGGTACCAAAACCGAAAAGTTGTCAAGATCTTGTTGATGGTGTTGTTGGTAACTAACTATACATTTAAATTTCTTAATTAAACAAAAAAAATTAATACTTGAACTCTTTTGGATTTTTAGCTTGTGTCTGTCAGGTACTGGAAGTTTCATCAAAGGATGTGCCAACAGCAACAAAAATAAAATTAAACATTGTGTCAAAAGTTAAGAAAATTTAAAACATGAAAGAGTGAATTTATGTAACAAGAATGTGCAAAAGAGTTAATGTACCTATTACTGTATACTGTTTTGATAATTTAATGTTTAAAGTCCTTTGTTTTATATATTATTAGTTTATATATGCACATTTTCTTTTCTTTTTTTCCTATAGAAAATATCATTATATAAGTATACAGATGGTCTATAGAATATCCTAAAAAGTAGATAAATATGCTATATCCCATCGATTCTATAGACCAACTCTATAGAAATTATTAAAAAAATACTTTTTTACAATTTTGAAAAATATGGTCTATAGAAACTTCTAAAAAAAAATCTAGAAAATTTCTATAGAAACTTCTATAGACTTTCCATTGCAATTCTAGAAAACATTCTATAGACTTTTTGTAGTTGAATTTCTATAGACAATATGTTTCAAAAGCCCATAGAAAATAGTATTGATTTTTTTTAATAAAAACTTCTATAAACTTTCAATAGAAATTCTATAGAATTTTCTATAGACTTTTTGTAGTTAAATTTCTATAGGTAATATGTTTTAAAAGCTTATAGAATATACTATTGATTTTTTTATATAGAAAATTCTATAGACTTTTTATAGAAATTCTATATAATTTTCTATAGACTTTGTAGTTGAATTTCTATAGACAATATGTTTCAAAAGCCTATAGAAAATATTATTGATTTTTTTTTATAGAAAATCTATGCAAACTTTGTCCTGGGTTTAAGTATAAGAAATCAGGGAGTTCCAGGCAAAAAAGATCTTCAGAATTTTCTATAAACTTTTGAAACATATGGCCTATAGAAACTATATAGAATTTCTATAAAATGTCTATTAATTTCCATAGAAATTGCTATAAAACTTTTTTTTCTATAAAAAAAAAAAGTAGAAAAAAAATTTTCAATGGGATTTTTTCAGAAGTTAACAGAAACTCTATAGAAATTCTATAGAATTTTATAGAATTTCTATAGGCCATATGTTTTAAAAATTTAGATAAAACTCTATAGAACTTTTTTTCCTGGGGTTGCTTGTTTAATTACAAGAAACTATAGAAATGGTTGTATAGTACAAGAAATTAAAGAGATGCTTGTTTAAGTATGATAAAGTTTTTTCAGAATTTTTATTACTCATCTTACATAAATATGGCTGACTCATCCTAAATATGGCTGACTGTACTGCTCCATTTAAAACCTGTATACAGTCACTAATGCCACAGAAAAAGTATTAGAGATAAAAGCTTATCATATTAATATTGTTACATCTTTTTTTTATTATTTTATTATCTACTTTATTAATTATTTTAATGGAATTCAAATCACCTTTTCATTTAATATTCCATCATACATTTTCTTTAAATTACTGATAATATCATCATTCTGTGATTTCTCCCTAAAAAAAGAATTTATAATTTAACTTTTTAAATAGTATGTAAATAAATTTTAAACTTAAAAAAAAGGATTAAAATTATTATAAAATTTAAAATTTATTTACAAACTTTTTTTTTAAATATAGAAAGAAAATTTTAACAAAATAAATTGCCTGAAAAAGTTAAGCCAATCAAACAAAAAATAATGTCTTGATATTTTTTATTTATTTAGGAGTAAAAATATTAAATATTATTTCTTATTAAAATACTAATAAAGAAAAATATTCAAAAAAGAAAAGGTAATATATAAAATAATACTTTAACTAAATATAAATTAATAAACAAAATAAATGTCTGAAAATAAAACAACAATATACATGTAATAAAAATCATCAACTATTATTTATTGACTATTATATATTGTTGATATAAAACATAATAACATTTAAACAACAATAAAATATAGTATCTTGTTAATAAAAAAACATAATAACATTTAAATAACAACAAAAAATAAAGTATTTTGTTTTTTTGTTTTTTTTTAAATCATTTCCAACAGCTGCAAGCAACAACTATTAGGGTTGGAAGTTACTGGAAGAGAAAAGATGAAGTTTATAAAGCAAGATAACGATTGACAGACAACTTTGCAAAGATCGCAAATTATATGAATCAGGAAAACAAAATAAAAGGAGCGAATTTCAAAGAGCTGAAGTTTGAGGGAAAAAACTAGTTAAAAAAGAGTTTTTGGAGCACTTAGGAACAGTCACAGTAAAAGAATTAAATGACAAGTAACACTATAATAAATTTTAATAGGTAGTACAAGAGATGCTAGCACATTAGAGCACCGCTTATTGGCAGACAACTTTGCAAAGATCGCAAATTATATGAATCAGGAAAACAAAACAAAAGGAGCGAATTTCAAAGAGCTGAAGTTTGAGGGGAAAAACTAGTTAAAAAAGAGTTTTTGGAGCACTTAGGAACAGTCACAGTAAAAGAATTAAATGACAAGTAACACTATAATAAATTTTAATAGGTAGCACAAGAGATGCTAGCACATTAGAGCACCGCTTATTATAGTATTTATAGAAAAAAGAAAGAGTAGCAACATTGCAATGATGTGACAATGGTTGAAGGTTTGCTGCAAGAGCAGGTCCAACTATGTTTACAATGTGTTTTTGAACCTTGTATAAAAGTGAAAAGGGCATTATTTAAAGATTCACACCAGATATGGTAACAGTACTCCAAACAATGATGGAGATTTATAGAGATAAAGAATCCGGAGTAAGAATCTGCTAATCATTTATGCAACAATAAGCACATGCTAATTTTGCAATCAATTTGATATATGATTTTCAACAAAGATCAGAAGTAAGAGTTAATCCTAGAAGACAATGGGTAGAGGACTCATCAAGTACATTACAGTTCATAAATATAGGAAGATCTAGATTATTGCAATAATGATTAGCTGAAAAAAATTGAGTTTTATCTGATTTTATACTACAATTGGTAATGAATTCAATTATCTTATGTTACCTGATACGTTGTAAGAAGAGATGTTACCTTATACGTTGTAAGAAGAGATGTTACCTGATACACTGTTATGAGACAAACATGCTAGACTTTAGCAAAGGCTTTAGAAATGTCGAGATAGCCCTGACCTCTCCACATCTATTGCACAATAAAACCTATTGGTTATTACCATTAACAAATCAGCAGTAGAACGAGAAGAACAAAATCTAGATTGATGATCAGAAAGTAAGTTATTAGATTCAAGATTAAGTGTTTGTTAATTAAAAATTCAAAAACTTTGCTCATGATTGGAAAAAGACTAATGGGATGGTAATTAGATGAGTCAGATTGCTCTCCAGAATTTTTGAAAATAATGAAAACAGATACCCCTTTCAAGCAGGCTGGAAAACAAGACTCTGATAAGCACTTGTTAAATAATTTTAAAAGTATAGATGATCGCTCCAGGGAACACTTTTGCAAGACTATAACAGATATGTTGTTAAATAAGAAACACATTTATCAGCAGGAAGACAAAAGATTTCTACCCAAAGGCTATCATGAAGAAAGTTACGGAAAGAGTTTCAGCCAGCTTTAAGGTAGTTGTAAGAAGTAAGATGATAGGGGGATTCTGATGATAAAGAAGAATGAGATAATAGTTTTATAGAGATCAAACCATGAGTTTTATCTCTCTAAAAAGAAGAATGAGAGTCTAAAAAGAAGAATCTAAAAAACTTAAATGTTATTTTTTATCATTTAATGGTAGACTTTGCAGTGTGGCTGGAGCTCGACAAATTTTGGTAGCTTCCAAAAAAGTTGCCCTAACTGCTAAACAAGCCATGGAAGAATCCCATTATTCCTGTATAATTCATTTAGAAGGTAAAACTTATAACAAATTACTTTTAAAAAACTTTATTAAAAATAAATTATATTTTACTAGATCTCTTTTTGCTTACTTATTACTGAGCCACAATATTGATATTGGAAAGGACTAGAGTTTATAATAGTGAATAGTACAAACTTAAAACAAAAATACAGTAACCATACTTTTGTTTATCTTTACAAAAAATTTAACTAAAATAAACAAATATATTCAATCAACAAGGTCAGCTCTTTGTCATCTTCGCTTTTCTTTTTCTTTATTATCTTGCTGCAACTGACAAAATTTATTTAACAATTTTTCTCGCTGCTTTAGTTTCCTTATGTGCCAAAGATTGTGGCAGGTGGCAAAGATTGTTGGACCAAACATCTTATGTTTTGCAAAACCATAAATATCAGATTTTTATTTTTTTTTATTTTGAATCTTTTTTAATACTTTATCTTTACTTTTAATCTTTCTTGAAAACCATATATCAAATCGTTTGCAAAATTAGTATCTGCTAAGGTTACATCTCTTTATCATGCTCACCACTTTCTTACTTTAAATTCCATTCTTTATCACTATAAATCTCAAACTTATCCTTGTATGGAAAATGTTGTCATAACTGAGGTAGATCTTTTTTTTTCCTGTTACTTGTCATTCTATTAAAACTCATCCTTTTACTGTGACTGTTTTTAAGTGCTCTAAAAATTCTTATTCGACCAGTTTTTTTCATCAAATATAAGTTTTTTGAAATTTGCTTCCTTCATTTTTGAAATTTGTTTTCTTGATTCATATAATTTGCAATATTTTAAATCGTCTGTCAATCGTTATCTTGCTCTATAAACTTCATATTTTTTCTTCCAGTAACTTCCAACTCTAATAGTGGTAGCTTGCAACCTTGTTGGTAGTGAAGATGTTAAGAAAAAAAAAATAATAATTCAGCCAAACTGGTATCAAGAAGCTATTGTAGAAGAAGCTCTAAATGCAATTGTTGGAAAGCAAAAATTTGAAGACTGGTAGGCTAAAAAATGCATTAAATAGGAACTTTATAATGGACAATTATTACTTTTTACTCTGCCCCATCCCCTCCAGTGGTAATGATTCAATATAATGACATTTTAAGTAGTTTTAAAAATTTCTTTATAAAAGTATTGTAATAAAAGTTTATTATTACTTTAAACTCATTAAAAACATAATTATAAATAAATATAACAACTACAAACATTAGTATTAAACATTCTTAAATTTACAAATATTAATTTATTGCATTGATTGTACTGATTTGATACTTCAACTTTATTTTTTAAACTTAAGTTTTTGCTAAAAAAAATTTATTTTATCTTACTGATTTGATAATGCAACTTTATTTTTTACACTTGAATTTTAGCTAAAAAAAAATTCTTTCGTTTTGCCAATTTTTTTAACAAAGATTAAAGGGATTTTAAACTTTTGAGACATGTTGTGTTCATATTAAAAAGAATGATAAAAAATATTTTTCAGGGCTAATTTTTTTGATTAAAATAAAAGAATAAATGCATACCAAGAAAAATAACTTGTTTTATTTTAGTTAAAGCTTGCATTCTTCATTTTGTTATAGGCCAAAATGTCAGCATAATATGTGTTGCAATCTACAGACTTGATAATTTATTCAAGCATGTTTTATTTCTGTTCTATTTTTATTGACCTCATTGATTTTGTTTTGTTTGTGTAATAAATCGATTATGTAAAAAACAAAAAAATCAATGATGTCATGTACATTTTGGCCTACAACAAAAGAGAGAAAACAAGCTTTAACTAAAATAAAACAGGTTAATTTTTCTTGGTATACATTTATTCTTTTATTTTAATCAAAAAACTTTAGCCTAAACATTTTTTTTAATCATTTTCATATTAATCATTCTTAATATGAACACAAGATGGCTCAGAGGTTTAGAATCCCTTTAATGTAATGTAAATTTACAATTAAAGTGTATAGAAAAATAATATTCACCTTTTAAAAACTTCCTCCATGCTTTTCCTTTTTGACTGTTCTTCTTCTAGTATTTCATCACAAATTGATTTCTCTTGTTTTACCCTTCGAAATTCAACTTCCAATGCTTTACATTTTGCTTTTAACTCTTCAGCTAATTCTGTTGCAGATCTTTCTTTTTCAGTTGCAAGTGCTAACTGTTGTTGCATATCACCTGATATATAATTGTATAAATGTTTTTTTAATGTTCTAATTTTTTTAGTTTTATCCTTACAGTAAAAAGCTAAAAAACTTATAAGTTTGACTTTATTATACTTAATAAATATTTATTATATGTTATAAATATTTATCATACTTTATAAAAGTTTATTATACTTTATAAATATTTATTTTTTTACATTTATTATAAGATAAAAGAAAAGTTAAAAAAAATTAAACTAAATTAATTAAAAAATAATAAACATATTGTAATTTTAAAATTAAAAATATAAATATAGTTTTTTATCATCATGCATTGCAATATAGAAAAAAAAAAAATTACTTAGTATGGCACAAGTAACCTAATTTTTAAATTAAAATTTCCAGATGTGGGAAATTCACTTAGTTGTACTTTATTTTTTGTGAAATTCACTTAGTCAGTTGTACTTTTTTTTTTGTGGAAAATTCAATCAGTCTGTTATATTTCATTTCTGTGGAAAATTCAGTCAGTTATATTTCTTTTCTGTGGAAAAAGTATATAGTCTGCTATTTTATTTTCTGTGGAAAATTCATCTAGTCTGTTATATTTCTTTTCTATTGGAAATTATTCTAGTCTGTTATATTTCTTTTCTGTAGAAAATTAGTCTGGTCAGTTATATTTCTTGGGTTAGAACCCACTACCTTTAAATTTCATTCTTTTTTTGTAAGTATTGATAATCTCTTTTAGCTGACTAAGTTTTTTTGGTGCCATTTTGTGATAACTTAAACGTAGAAGCATTTTATCAACATCATTAAAAACTATTTTTAACAAAACATCCTGTGCAACACACAGTCCATGCTCTAAGCAATGAGCAACCTCTATTTCCTTAGTTCACAGAGACCAGAATTACCTGATATAAAAACTATAACCTATATTTCCAACTTTATTTATCATTATTAATCCAACAATTGGTTTTATTATATACTTGGTTTTATTATATACTTTACAATTGGTTTTATTATATACTTTACATACATGCATGTGGGATAAACAAGACAATGCATGACCATGTTTGAAATTCGTCTGAATAAAAATAACCCTGAATAAAAATATTTAAAAAGTTAAACATACACTTAGTCTTGTTTTCAAATTGGAAGCAAAACTTACAGGCCATTATTTTGAATTTCCTGTTTGAATTTATTTTGTATTTGAGCCATTAAAATATAAAAATATCAGGTAATTCTGAGTTTCTCTTGTCCCAGTTATTGCAATAACAATTTTTGAGGGTTGTGAATTTAGCTTGGTTTGAATTAACTTTCTAGCTTGTTGTTTTACTCAAAACAACAGCTTGCTGTAATGCAAAAGTTTTGATGAAGACTAATTTTTGTGGTTCAAGCTTTAAAATAAGTTTTAACTTGTGGATTAAAAAGTCTACAAATTAAATCCACAAATTATATAACGACATTTTGTATAGCGTTGATGATCCAACATACATAAAGTGTATGGTGTTGATAATCCACCATAAACAATTTGTATGGCATTTAAGTATCTAACATATGTAACAAGTAATTACGTATATTATAGTTAAACTAAATGAAAAATATGATAATATTTTAAAAAGAACTTTTTGTTATCTTAAAATTTATCATTCAAAAGAAACTTTTTATAGAAATTTCCATGAAAAAATTAATAACTTTGATAAAAAAATTTACTTAAACGACTAGTTAGATTAAACTCCACTCTTTCCCAATTTTCCACATGTTTGGAATGACTTGTTTGTAAATTTTCGATTTGGCGCAATAGAGGCTTGGTTGCTAAAATAAATAAAAATATATATAAAATATATAACAGTTATTGATGAAACCATTAGACTTTAAACTTAGAATTAGAATTTTTTCACTATAAAAATTTTCTAAACTTTACTAGTTCTACCTGTAGATACACTTTGTAGAAGTTCTTGGTTCCTGTTCTCACCTTCCTCTAACCTCTATAATATTTGCAAAACAAAACAGTGACAAAAAGTAGTTTATTGCTTTAGAGGTTTTAGAGATTTCGAGCTTAAGAAATTCAAAGTGTTTAAAAATTACTTTAAGTAGGTCTTGTATTTCTCTTTTCAAATAATTTTCTTGTCTTGCTGATTGTTGCTCGAGACGAGAATATGCCATTTGTAAGTCATCCATCTAAGCATTTGCAAAAATGAGTTCAACAAATTAAACAATTTTTTAGCAATTATCAAACAAATTGCTATTAAGTATATACTTAAAAATAAAAACAAAATAATTACTTGTCTTTGGAGTTCCTCTCGGTCAAATGAAGATAATCTTTCAAGATCCCTAATTTTGAGTTCAAGTTCCTTTTTCATAGCTATTGCAGCATGACCTTCCTAGAAAATTAACATATATTTTGTTCATTGCAGCATAACCTTCCTATAAAATTAACATATATTTTGTTCATTGCAGCATAACCTTCCTAGATAACTAACATATCAAATTTAATTAATTAAATTGAACTTCTATTAAAAATATGGTTTAGGTGCTCTTTGATATTACAGTAACAACAAACATGTTAAACAAACAGGTCCTTATTTATTTTAATTATTCATCAAGTCCACACTCCATATATACCACATATCTTTGATATACTTATATAAAATATACTTGGTATTTTTTTGGTAATAGGGAAGTTTTTAAATAGCCCTCATATATACAGTGCGTTTGAAAGAATCATCCCTTCATATGTCAAGTAAAAAATGCAAAGCTTACATTTACTTCTGACTCCATTTGAGCTTTTTCTAAATTTAGCCTATTGATTTCACTAAAATATAAAAAAATTAAATACTAAAAAAAAAGTATTTACATTTTTAAATAAATTTACAAACAAATTAACAGAAAACATTGCAGATAGAGATTTACACAATTTATTCAAACTAATTAATTATATTATTAACAACACTTTATATATCTTATAGATATAAGAAAAAAATAAATCTTTTCATATTTAACTTGCAAAAAAAACTCCAGGAAAGTATGACTTTCCTAGAGTTTTTTTACAAGTTGAATATGAAAAGATTTTTTATATTCAACTTGTAAACTCATTGATATTTTTTGAATGATAACATTAATGAACTATAAGTTTTTTTGTTTTTTTTTAGTTTTACTAACATACAACACATAAAAATCACAAAAATACAAAATGAAAAATTGCTCATATCTTAGAAAAAAGCTATTTTAAAGTTTAGAAGATAAAGACCATTAGAAGTGCTCAAAATCTACTCAAAAGTAAGTTAAAATGCAAGTAGTAACAGATATCATTGAAATGATTGAGCAATTAAAAATTGAAAAGAGCTCAATAATCACATAAAAATGGCATGAAGAATATAATAAAAAATAAAGGATATATATATTTTTTTTTTAATTTTAATTCACCTCCTCAAGGCCGAGAAGGCCACTACAGACGAAGAGGCTACTTATTTTGTGGCTATAACCCTCTCTCAACTCTATAACTTTGAAACACGAACCTTGACAAACAAGGCCGCTGCGCGGAGAAACGAGTTGAGTGTGGTACTACCAGGGACGTGGTGGGGATCGAACTCGGAACCACTCGTTTATGAAGCGAGCGCTCTACCACTACACCACTACCACATTACCGCATATGCTCAAGGAATGAAATTTAATCAATAAAAAAATTGAATAAAAACTTTTTTTAATAAAAAATAAATATAATTAATAAAAGTGAAAAAAGTTGATGGCAAAGTAATGTTAATAAAAGTCACAACTAATATAAAATTACAAACAAGAGTACATATATATTGAAAGAAAGTAATGTAACTGATTGATCATTAAAGTCAAATGTAAGGGTCAAACATCCCAACAAATAAAATCAAAGGAATAAAACAAATTAAATTTACAAAGATTTATGCAATCATTTAATAAATTCAATATTTTATAATTTTTTAGGAAATATTCAATCTATTAAAGATATTAAATATACATAAAGATTAATTTTTAATACTTTGTGTCTTGAAACTTTGTATAGTTGATACATATATAAGTATATATATATATATATATATATATATATATATATATATATATATATATATATATATATATATATATATATACATATATATATATATATATATATATATATATATATATATATATATATATATATATATATATATATATATATATATATATATACTCATATATGTACTCATATATGTATATGTGCTATATATATATACTTATATATGTATATGTACTTGATATATATAGTTTATGCAGTTATGTAGTATGTGTATCAGATATATCATATATCTCATATTTATATAGTTCTACATATTTTGTGTAGTTGCTGGTATATTAATGTTGTTCTTATTATTTTTGTATAGTTTCTGAGGAATTCTGTTTGTATATGGTGCCTAATACTTTACATTATTTATGATGTTTTATTTTATATGATTCATGTACTTTACATTGTTTATGTTGTTTTATTTTATATGATTCTTTTTCTTTTTAGTATTCTTAGTATTGTCCTAGTATTTCTTTTTTATAATGCACTTTTTAGTACTTAGTATATCATGTAGTTCTTGATGTTTTGAACTTGTTCCTGGTACTTTATATACAGTTCTCAGTGTTTCAGATCAAAACCATCACTGCTACTGGTAACATGCAATAGTACAACCTTCCACAGTTCTGCGTATCAGTACAACCTGCTACATCTGCATCTGTATTAAGTACTGCCACTGTCCATCAGTACAACCTGCCACATATTCTTGTAAGAGTTGTAAGGCTAATTTCTAATAATAATAAGTCTTGAAAGACTAATTTCTTACTAGGAGAACTTAACTCTGAAATCAATACTTATTGCTTTGGTACTCTTGGTTGAGTAAAGGCTAGAGATAATGTCTCAACATCATTTCTATCCTTTTCTATCAACATTAATCTTGAAAAGATGTAAACTGCATCTCACTATTGACTTGTCAGAATATTGATAGTGTCTTATTAAATATGAATTGTCAAGACCATATAGAAAGCCCCTAGGTACAACTTTAAAATAAATCAAAATTTTAAAAAAAAGTCAAAGCGAGGCAATTGCATACTTTATTCCTTAAGCTGATTGCCAAATATTATCTTATTGCTTAGGTTGAGTCATTGCCAAATATTATCTTTAAGTCCATTGTTCTATTTAATAATTTAAACTATGGCTAAAGTAACAACAAATATTTAACAAAAAAAAAATCATAATTACAGCCAAAACAACTTTTTCTCCATAGAATTTTACACTTTGCAAAATTCATAAAACCTATTTATACTTCTTTGTATATACATATCTGTTGAATTATGTTTTTGAATCCCCTGAATGTTTTTTATGTTTGGTATTATTTTGTTCAACAACTTTTTCTTATTGAATCTTTCACTATTGATTTTTTAATAAAACCATATATCCAATCTATTGCTAATTTATATTTAATCTATTGCTAAGTTATATCCAATCTATTGCTATGTTATACCCAATCAATTGCTAAGCTGTATCCAATCTATTGCTAAGTTATATCCAAGTTAACTAAATTAGCACCAGATAAAATTAAGTTAGCAATTATTTAAAACTAAATTAAAAACAAGCGCAAAATTACCTAGTAAAGTTGTCATGACGACTATTAGTTGTCAGTGATGACATGAGTTAAGTCATGTAAGAAGTTAAAAAAAATAAAATAAAAAAATAATAATTGAGCTGTGTGCTGCTTTTTAATTAAGAATAAAATAATCAAGCATTATCATATTAAATAATACCTATAAGCAACTTGGATAGAGGTTTCCATTGCCTTATACTTTTCATCATTTTCATCAATACTTTCTTTTAGAGCAGTTATTTCATCTTCTTGTAAATCTGTCATTTTTTGCAGCTTTAATATTTCAGCTGTAGAAAAAATTTTCTTAATAAATTTCAGTGAATGCATTGTAAAATACTGTTTTATGATATAAAATAAAAACCTTCTTGCTGTTGATTTTCTTTTTCTTTTTCTACCAACATATCATTAACTTTTTGAATTTCTGCATTCAGCTCACCAATTGAGGTACTAAAAAATATATATAAATACTTAGTAACTAACAAAAGCATGATATTGTATAATTTATTTTAAAATAACTAAAAAACTTTCAACTTGTTATTATGTTGTTTCTTGAGAATATTACAAAAAATTTGGAGGTAAAAATTAAGTTTCTTTTTAGAATGTACATTTAGAATATAATGGCTCTATCATTAAGTTTCTTTTTAGAATGTACATTTAGAATATAATGGCTCTATCATTAAGTTTCTTTTTAGAATGTACATTTAGAATATAATGGCTCTATCATTAAGTTTCTTTTTAGAATGTACATTTAGAATATAATGGCTCTATCATTAAGTTTCTTTTTAGAATGCACATTTAGAATATAATGGCTCTATTCTAATGAATAGCAAATGCTGATGTCTTGAGAAATTTTCAAAAACTTAAACTTATATTGAGGGAAAAAAAAGCAACAAAAAAAAAACTATATTAAAAATATTCATTTAAAACTTTTTTAAAACAAGAACATGATTTTTTATTTTTTGTTAGTACTATTTGGAAATACATTATAAACTCAAAAAAAATAGAAATACAAAAATAAAAAAAATAGAAATACAAAAAAAATACAAATACTCTCAAAAAAAAAAGAAATTTACCTGAGTTTGTCATTTTTTGCCATAAACTCCTTTAGCTTTACTCTTAATTTTTTTATTTTAATATTGTTTTCTAGTTCTTTCTTAGATAATGCTTCCCCTAAATTACAAATAATTTTTCTTAGACAGTACTTCTCCTTATACATTAACTTGCCTTATACACAATTAAGATATAAATATAACAAAACAAAAAGAAAATATAAAAAAATGACAAAACAATAAAAATGTATATATATATATATATATACATATATATATATATATATATATATATATATATATATATATATATATATATATATATATATATATATATATATATATATATATATATATATATATATATATATATATATATATATATATATATATATATATATATATATATATATATATATATATATATTAACAGCAAACAAACAATTTGTGAATTTAACATACACACACACACACACAAGAAACAATGTTTCTTTTCATTTCATTATATAAATTTTATAAAGAATTTCATTGTTATACTTTAAAAAGCAATATTTAAAAAGCAATAAAAATAATAGATTATTGCTGTATAGTCATAATATAATAATATTATGTATATTTATATATATACAAAATATGTATAATAAATTATTATATAATAAGTTATATATTATATTGTTATATAATTATCATTATATTGAGGCATATACATTAATATTAAATACAATACAAATAGTATATATAGTACAGCAGTATTTGACTTGTAATATATATCATTTTATTTTTGTAAATTTTTTTTAAAAAAATGTTTAACCTTCTTCTAACAAAGCTTTAATAGTTTCTTCTTTCTCTGCTACTGATTGAGTTAGTGACATTTGGAGGTCTTTTTCACTAAAAAATATATATGCATATACATATATATATATATATATATATATATATATATATATATATATATATATATATATATATATATATATATATATATACACATATATATATATACAGTATTGTGAAAAAGTTACCACTAAATAAAAAAATATATATTTTTCAAATAAAATTAATTAATTTTTATTCTAAAGATAATAAAATAGTCTTTTTTTTCAAACATTAAATAGAACATGAGAAAAAAGATTTTTTTTTTTTTTTTGAAAATTAAATAGTAGAACCTATAAAAATAAGGATTAAATATTATTATATTATTAAATTTTTTCAATTTTTTTTTTGTGAAAAAGTTAAGAACCACAAAGAATTTTTTGTGCTAAATCCAGTGAAAAATACTTTTTTTTAATTGATTTTTACCTTTTTATTTGAATATTCTATTAATGACCTGAGTCGTTGCCAAAAAACCAAAAGTATTTAATTTACCTATGAAGATTGTGTAAAAGTAATGCATTTTCACCAGGAAGGTAAAACAGCTTGTGAAATTGGAAAAATAATAACACGATCATGTAGTTCTGTGCTAACAATCATCAAAAGATTCAGAAAGACGAAATCTTACGTTGATCGCCATCTTTCTGGAAGACCGCGTTTGACGACACCCAATGATGATCGCCTTTTAATCAGGTAGGAAAAGAAAAATCGAACCATGTCATCGAATAAATTAAGAGGAGAATGTAAAGTTTCAAATGGACGTCAAGCATCAGCATCACTTAAGCGTAGAAAACTAATAGTTAAAAATATGCTACGGAAAAAAGCTGTTCTAAAACCGCGACTTACCAAACAATATATAAAAAAGCGAAAATAATTTTGCTTAAGTGTCAAAGAATGGTCAAAAGAAAAATGGAGGTCAGTAATGTTCAGCAATGAGATTAATATCGAGGTTGATAACCGAAAAAACCGAATTATGATTTGCAGGTAGCCTTCAGAAAAATATAATCTCGATTGTATTGTTCAAAGAACAAAACAAGGTAGCAGGTCTGTTGGAATATGGTGATGCATGAAATATTATGGTCTCGGTATGTTTAAATTATTTGATGGTCAACTCAACTCTATTTATTACATCAATATTTTAAATAACAACTTGTTACCATCAATTGATGCACTTGAGCAAAGTGTTCCGTTCATTTTTTAACAGGATAATGCACCATGTCACAGGGCTAAAATTGTTTCTGAATGATTCGAAAGGATAAATATTGAGCCTCTAACTTGGCCATTAAATAGCCCAGATCTAAATTGTATTGAAAAACTTAGGAGTTGGCTTGATAAAGAGATTTCCAAAAAAGCACCAAGGAGCCTTGAGGAGTTGCGCAATATTTTACCAACAATACTTGGAAATATTCCCAAACATATTTAAGAGAATTTAATAGACTCAATGCCAAATCGTATATATGAGTGCTTAAAAATCCATGGTAGAATTACGCGGTATTAGGTAAAAATTACCGTTGTTTGTTCCGTGGTTTTTAAATTTTTCACAATTTTTTTAAAATAAAAATTACCTATAAAACTTTAAATACATTTTTTTATTTGTTCAAAAGTTTTTGGCATTACTATTATTTTTTATTTTGTTGGTCTATTTTCTAAAATTTATTATTATTATTTTTTTTAACAGAAAAATATATATGACTAAATAGAAATTTAAAAATAAAAATAAATTATGATTTGTTTTTTGGTGGTTCTTAAATTTTTCACAATAATGAATATATGTTTGATCATAAAGGCAGTGCATAAACTTTTTGTTTTAAATATATTTTGATATTATTATATATTTAATAAATAAATAATATATATAAATAAGTAAATATATAATAATATCAAAATATATTTGAAACAAAAAGTTTTTATGCAGCCTTTATATCAAACTCATTAAACATAATTATCATATAACAAGTATATGATTTTAAAAGATATATATATATATGTGTGTGTGTGTGTGTGTGTGTGTGTGTGTGTGTGTGTGTGTGTGTGTGCAGCATTAGACACACTGCAATTAACACTAAAATTAGTACTGCAAAGAAAAATTAGTAGTTACATATTTATATTATAAATAATATTTAAAATCATATATTTTTTTTAAGTAATATTTACAAAAACTTGAATGACTAACAATTAATAATGAAAGTAAAATGTTCAAGTAATTAGTTAAAATTTATTTTTAAATAACAGATTAATTTGAATCGTAAAAAATTGTTTTGTCATTCTTTATCTTTAAACTATTTATTTGAAAGTCATAAAATTCAAACAATTTTTTCAAATAAAATTTACTTAAAAAAAAACAAATTCAAATTTTGTAAACTTGTTTTTTCAACATTTTTTTATAGTAATACTTTGATATACTTTTTAAAAAAAGATATTAATTAGAAATTTAATTATTTAATAAACTCAAATATTTAAAATGTGCATACTTATACTATTTATATTTTTATATCATTATTAAATACTGCTTAACGATATACAGTAAACAAGAAATTTAATAATTCATCAAAATCTACTTAAAAGAAAAATTAACTTAAATTTTGGGCACATATCTAAGGGGCCATTCATAAATTATGTACACAGATATGGGGGCTATCCAAAAATGTACAAATGCATAAAGGAAGGGGGGTGAAAGGGTGTAAAAGACAGTGAGTATGTACGCCGTTTGACTCCTAAACTTGAAAACTCTCCTAAACTTGATTTTTTATAAAATAAAAACATTGAATTTTATGTGTGTAAATCAATATTATGTTTTTTTTTTCTGATTTTGGTCACAACTGTTTTTTATATTTCTTTATAAATAATGAAGAGAGAAAAGATAAATCAAGCAATAAGACGGTGATAAAAAAATTGTTGATAAAATGGTGATAAATTTTAGCAAAAAGATGGTAATAAAAAATTGAAGCAAAATGTGATAAAAGTAAACTTTTTTTGAATTCTTTTTTTTTAATAACGTAAACTGGTTTTTACCATTTCTCTTAAAATGCTACAAAAATTTAATATCTTATCTTTAAATAATAATAGAATAAAAAATGAGTTAATATTATAAATTTTTATCATTAATTTAAGTTAAAATTGATATACATTAAGATCGTTAGGAACAGGCGAAGAGAAATGAACATACATATGACAGTTATTCGTAAATTACTGTCACATGTATGTGTCATATGTATAATTATTAATTGTAAAAAAAAGCTACTTTAATGCTGATGGAAACTGAATTGAAAATCAAACTACATCGTATAACTATAGAGCAGTCACATAAATTTATTTATCATTGACCACTAGACCAATTTTTCTATATCTAAAATATGTTAATAAATAATCGCGAATATCAAAGATGAATTAAAATAAACAAATAAACACTGTGAAAGAAACTATAAGAAAAGAAAAAATAAAATCGAACAGGTAAGATAATTTAATTATATGTAAGTTTCTTTATTAGATATTTTGTTTTAGAATGTCTAACTGTCAGTTTTATAGTAAATTTTAAAAGATATATTAAACAGAGCTTATTTCTGTGTATAGAAAGCGTCTTGGCCATAAAAACCAAACATTTTCAAAAGAAAAAACTTTTATAAACTTATTGTCCATAATAATTTCTAATTTCAAATGAGAATTAGCATAATTTTTTGTTTGCAACATTAGCTAAAAGTTGCGAAACTTTTAGTATATTAGTTTTTATAACGGAAACAAAGATTTTCTGACACTTCGGCTTATCAAAGAAAATGAAGACAAAAACTTAAAGAAAGCATCAAAACTGTGTGTCAGAACAACTCTAAAGCATCAAGTGCTTTAAAACAGTTTATTCGAAACCATCCTGGACAACCGCATTTTGAAGTTGATCAACCAGAGCTTTTATCAACAATTATAAAAATTGTGCAAAACATCATCAGTAGCTGAAGAATGTCACACAACAGAACGTCTTCCTAGCATCTCCACTTTGGAAGACTTTTAGGCAGAGTTGACAAAGATAGGCTTTACCTTAAGTAGGAATGGTTTGTACCTTTGTTTTTTACTACGATGTGGAAACACTTATGAAAGAAAAAACATGTCAACACAGTTCCAATAAATGCTATTACGTCCAGAAAACTCAATGCGAAAAAAAATAACGATAAAATATTTTCCAAACCATACATTGATGACATGTTTGAAGTTTGCAAATTGTTTGGACCAAAAGCTGTGCTTTTCATTTCCAACTATGACAAAGCCAGAGTCCCATTAGGTCTTGCTGCAGCAAGCCTTAAGGTGCTTTTATTGATGCATATGAAATACAAGGTCAAACTTATAGATCACAACTTTGTTGTTGACCCACAGCACAAATTGATCCCATCAGTGTATGGCGTATGCAAAGTTAACAAAACTGGAAATGTATCTTACAGTGGGGACACTTTCATACACATAAGAGGTGGGAAACACAATATATCAAATGCTTTTACCTATACTTTTGATGTTAGAGAGCTTTTTAAAAATAAGTTGGTTAAACGTAGACCAATTATGTTAATGGAGACTAATGGAGCTCAGGATGAGCCACCACACTTCCCTAAAACTTTAGCAACTGTTGTTGAACTCTTCTGCTTGCTTGATTTAAATGATTTTCTTCATGGTGTTAATGCAGTTGGCTGTTCAGCCTTTAAACCTGTTGAAAGAAGAATGGCACCTCTTTCTTAAGATTTGGCTGGAATAGTTTTTCTTCATGATTTTTTGGCAATCACCTTGATTCTTCTGCAAAAACAATAGACCATGAATTAGAGGTAGAGAACTTTCAAAAAACTGCTGACATTTTATTCCAATTTTGGGAGAAAACTATCATTGATGGGTATCCTGTTAATTTCCAAGCTGTACCAGTTGAAAAAACGTATGAACCTTGACTCCTGATCCTGTTTGGGTAGACTGTCAGCAATCTACCCTGTTCATTGCTGGGATGTACCAGTTGGGAAAGCATATGAACTGCTGACTCCTGATCCTGTTTGGTCAGAATTTGTCAGCAATTTACCAAAACAGAATATTTGTAGGCTGTATTACAATTGCTGACAAAGATTGTCAACAATCGCTATACAGCCTATAAATTATAAAATGCTAAGAGGAGTCATGTTGCACACCATTTAAAACAAAATGGCTGAAAAACTTTTTCCAATGTTTCATTCCATTTCAATCCATCTATAAATACTGCAAGAATGGTTTACAAAGCAATGGAATTGTATTGATATTTTAAAAACATATCAAACCAATCAACGTTTGCACCACTATTACATCCTCTTTTGCTACATGATGTACCTGCAGAAGGATTAAAATACAAAATTATACCATTTGATCAGTATTACCCATCTTTAAAAGAAAAGCTCTCAAACAGAGTTTGCGACAAGTGCAATAAATACCACCAAAGTTCATACCTATACTTGATTTATTTAAGTCACCATTAAATTTTTTTTTTTTTAATGGTGACAGATAACTCAAAACATTGGCGAGCAATTTCCTTACAGCAGGTTTCAGAACAGGGTAATATCACCCAAATTATTTTCCTCGAATAGTTCCTGTATATATTTAATTTAATTTAATTAATTCGGAATAATTTTTCATTTTTGTTACTGTTTATATGATATTATTGGAAACCCTTAAAATAAAAAGAACAATTTACTTTTAATGATTGTTAAAAAAATACTCACACTTAATTTAAATTATAGTGTTTTTTTTTTACTAATTAAAAAATATCAGTTTCCAAGTATATGCTAACTAGTAAATAATTACGCATTAAAAAATCATTTCATTCTTTGTTTTAACATTTGTACTGTTTTTTTTTTTTGGTTATTTTTTTTTAATTTGTTTCAAAAGAATAACATTTATCATAAAAAATACATAATTATATAAATTTAAAAAAATAACAGTTTCCTAATACTTAATATAAAAATTCATTTGAAATGTTTTGTTACTTCATTAAAAAGCATTTCAATAATATAAAAGCATTAAAGATCAAACTTATTTAATTGGCTTTCAAAAACATTTGTGTTTTTTTTTTTCAACAAAATTTTTTTTATTCTTCTAAATGTATTAACTTTAAAGATTCTTATATTAAAATTTGTTTAGTCATCGTTTATAAAAACAAAATTATTTTTTACTTTTTAATAACCTTTATTATAAAAAATGCATACTTAAATAATTTATATAATATAAATGTAAAGATTGTGCCTGATCAAACCCTAAATTAATTTATGTACTGATCCCCCAATATATACATATATATATATATATATATATATATATATATATATATATATATATATATATATATATATATATATATATATATATATATATATATATATATATATATATATATATATATATATATATATATATATATATATATATATATATATACATATATATATATATATATATATATATATATATATATATATATACACATATATACATATATGTACATATATATATATATATATATATACACATATATATATATACATATATATGTATATATGTGTGTGCGTGCATGTGTGTGTGTGTACATAGTAATTATAAAATTAAAATAAAATGAAAACCTTTTTTGAATTTGCTGTTCTGCTGTTGCTAACTTTTGTTTTAAAGTATCGCGTTCCTTTAATTTTAAAAGTCCAAATAAATCTCAATAAAACTTTTTCAGTAACAATTACTTACATTTTAAATATGGTATAATATATTTTTAAAACAACTATGGTAATATATGGTAAATCAAATATGGTATAATATAAAAAATGGTATAATTTTTTTTATCTGAAATACTTCACCTTTTTTTTTACAAACAGTTGATAGAGAGCTAATGAATATAGAAATCACTCAGGGTTATGAACTGCTGGTTGGAAATTTCTGAATTTTGTTAAAAATATATACCCTACCTTGATAACAAGCTGAAACTTGCTTTCTGTTTCATGAAGTGTTTTTTTTAGCTGATTAAATGATTCTTCATCTGTTTTATTCTTCTGCTTTAATAAAGTCTTGCATTGCTCCAGCTGACTTAATAAAAAAGTTTTAATTTCTAAATAATATAGACTTTTTTTTTTATTACTGTAAACAAGTTATAAAATTTTACATTTTGTACGCACTGTTATGTTCATTTAAACGTATATTTTCGTGACTCAACTCAACCATTTTATTTTCGCGAGCTTCAAGAATACACTTTAGTCTTGCAATTTCCTAACATTCAATAATTTTTATTTAGAAAAACGGTTACAAGAAATAAAACCATTTATAAAATAATTTATAAAAAACTGTATAGTATTATTACTAATAACTATAAGTCATTAATAATTAACTGCAATAATAATAAATATAAGTTGTTACTGAATAATTATAAATACTAGTATACAAATTAATAAAATTATTTATAATAACAATTAAAGTTTCAGAGAGAAAAATTATAATAAAAGAAAAGTATAAAAATATAAAAAAATAAAAAACTACAAAAGAAAATTATAAACTGCTTATTTATTACAACTCAAAATAAACAAAATCACCTTATTATAAATAATTTATTTATTACTTATTGTAATTATAAATAAAAAATAAAAATAAAAAAATAATTAATTAAAAAAATAATTAAAATCAATAATTAAAATTACCTCAGTGTATTCTAAAACATTAAATTGAGATGAATCATTATGATGAGTTTGATGAAAATCCGAATATTCGTTTTCTTCTGTTACTTTGATTACATCCTTGTACTGGTCTATATCTTTATTTAGAAGGAAAGGTTCATTCTCATTGCCAGAAGAATTATTTGCATCACTATTAAAAGTAATTTCTGTTTTTTGATCTAGACAATCTAACTCAGGAATTTTAAAAACAGTTTCATGGTGATTAGAGTAAGGAATATTGTCATGGTGATTAGAGTTGTTATGTTGTTTAGAGTAAGGAATATTGTCATGGTGATTAGAGTTGTTATGTTGTTTAGAGTAAGGAATATTGTTATGCTTCTTATGATTATCACATAAATTGTTTTCTTTTTTTTCTAGGTCAGTCTCAAGATGAAAATATTTTTCTTCTGTACTATTTTCCTGACCAACATATGTGTTTCCTAAACTATCAGATGAAATGAGAGAATTATCAAGGTAATGATTAAAATCAGAAGTAATTTTATTTTCTGTATTTAAAATTTGATCTTCAATGAAGAAATTTTCAGATTTTTGATTTAAATAAATAGAGTTTTGATTTTGAATATCATTTAAACTACTTTTTTCAGCATCTTGTATTTGGTTCACCATCAATTCAACATTTAACAAATCTCTGCTATGATCATCCTGCAAACAATCTGCAGTATTTTCAACTGAACTAATTTTTTCATTCAAAGAAATATCAATTAAACTATTATCTTTTTTGTTCTTTGAATTAATAGGTTCAATTGTTTCAAGAATTGTATCATCTAGATTGCTTGTTTGTTTTGTTACAGGAGAATTTAGTGCAGCTTCATTAGAAAAGTCAACCCATTCATTAAACGGTAACTGCTTTTTGGATTTTTCAGATTCATTATTAGACTTTTCAAATTTGTCATTAGGTGTGCTCAAAACATGGCTCAATTTGTCTTTTTTTTTGCTAACTGCTTGTGAATTTTCAAAAAATGAATCAAAAAATGTATCAGTTGAAAGATTTGATGCAGAAGATACAGTAGGAGGTTGTACTTTTCGGTGGTTATATGATATTGAGGTTGAAGTCGCTAAACAAATAAAAATCAATTTATATGTATGTATGTATGTATGTATGTATGTATATATATATATATATATATATATATATATATATATATATATATATATATATACATATATATATATATATATATATATATATATATATATATATATATATATATATATATATATATATATATATATATATATATATATGTATATATACATATATATATATATATATATATATATATATATATATATATATATATATATATATATATATATATATATATACGTATATATACATATATATATATATATATATATATATATATATATATATATATATATATATATATATATATATATATATTTATATATCCATATACATATATAATATATATATATTATATATATATATTTTATATATATATTATATATATATATATATATATATACATATATATATATATATTTATATATATATATATATATATATATATATATATATATATATATATATATATATATATATATATATATATATATATCAAGATGCAATTTGGAAAATGCATATACTAAAACTTTATTCCATCATTCAAATATTATATAAGCATTTAAAATAGTTTTGTTTATGTCATGCTACTTTAATTTGCTTTGCTGACAACTTGATGTAAAATATATTATATTTAAACATGTAAACATATATTTTCTGCTTTACTTATTTAAATTACTTTCATTTTATTGGTGGTTAAAAACTTTTGTTACATTTTTTTTGTGTGACAATTTTTAAGAAAAATAAAATTTTGAGCATTCGAAAAAAAACAATTGACTGTCAAATCCATGTGTTAGCTGGTCAAATTGATTGCTTGCCTTCGACTTCTTATTTTCCACGCTTATATATATATATATATATATATATATATATATATATATATATATATATATATATATATATATATATATATATATATACATATGTACATATATACATATGTACATATATACATATATATATATATATATATATATATATATATATATATATATATATATATATATATATATATATATATATATATATATATATATATATATATATGTATATATGTACATATGTATATATATATGTTTAAGATTATGCCTTTTTTTTTGTCTTGCTTGAGTCACACCACACACCCATCTGATCGTCTTTTTCTTTTGGCAAATACTATTCCCTATAATTACTAAAGTTTATATAACAATAAAAGGATATTGCATGCCTGCATCTATATAAATAGTAAACAGTTATGTTTATATCCATAATATTTATGCATAAAGTCCATCTTGGAAGCTTTTATTCCCTTCTGGAATAAATGTTTGGAAGCTTTTATTATTTCTCTTTAACATAAAGTCAAGCCTCATTCTACTCCACATTTTTCACCATCTTGAGCATTAATTTTTCACCATCTTGAGCATTAATTCAAACATTAATTTTTTCATTTTTTTTTTTAAAAGAACATCATTCTTAAGAACAAATTTTTATTATTGCAAAAAGCTATAATAAAAGCAAAGTAAAAAAGCAAATAAGCAAAGTCCTGTCTGATGTTAAGCTCTGTTATTCTCAGTTTACTAAATCTTGTATCTTATCTCAGATGTTAGGTTCCAGAAACCTTTGGTTAGTCTTCAACAACGTCATTAACTAAAGTAGGTCCAACATTTAATCTCTAGTTCATGTGTCTGATTTTTTTACTTCTTCTGATCTTCTTACTTCTCCCCAGAATTATTTGCAACAAAATCTTACCTTATTTGACTCTTGAATATTATGGCCATACTCTTCCTGACAGTTAAACAGATTAATCCATGGTTATCCAAATCACTCTGCCTTCCAATGCTAAAGTTAATTCTTAATTAAACACTTCTATAATTTGTGCTCCAAAATAGATTTCCATCATAGTCCAAAAAGTGTTCTCCAGAACTCTCTTCAATTATTGCTAAACTTTTATAAAGTGCTAATGAAGTGGTTCCAAATTTTCAAAACTCTAGAAAATACTTGACCTCACCTACTATACTACAATAAGTTTTTACTATCTTATTAGTTTCTTCATATAAAGGTTTTGAGGTTATTAAATGATTTTTTTTCTAACTGCAGTAGTAAAGTTATTATTTAAGGCCTACCATCTTCTTTATTCTAAGTAACTATAAGGGTACCACAAGGTTCTACCTTTGTTCCTGTATTGTTTCTTATCTAAAATAACAATCTCCATAAAATCTAAAGTGGCCCTATTTCCTGACTCTATTTTAAAGTAACTCATAACTTAATAGTGGTTGCTTGCAATCTTGTTGCAAGTAAATTAGAGTTTGAAAATACATAAACTTATGCCAGTATTTAATAAATAGTAAATGTAAGCATAAAATTATAATTTATAATGTACTATTGATTTTTAACCCTGGCTATCAACCCCTGTTAAATCTTATAGTTTAGCAGTAGCCGGGTTTGAAAAAAGTCTCATTATTAGCCGGGGCCAGTGCCCCGGTCACTTACTAAACATATCTTCAGTTAATATAGCTTCATGTCTGCTTAGTCATTTTTTTACTGCTCAACATGCTGAAATAGGCAATAGTCTCCAAAAATGTTTACCATGTGTGCTTTACAAAGTTAAGCAAAAAGCAAGAATTTCTTTTGTTAATATTGAAACATATCAGGTGCTAGTTATATTAAAATGTTTTTTAATTTTTTAACCTTTTTTTTAAAAAAAGCAAGTTGGTTTGATTGGTATATATAGATTAATGCATTCGACTACAAGTTTTAATAATAAAGTTTTTTATAAAAACTTCTGAATCATTAAATATTCTTCAAAATTGCCTCAATAATGATATGTTTCCAAGAAATGACTACAATAATGATATGTTTCCAAGAAATGACTACTATAATGATATGTTTCCAAGAAATGACTACAATAATGATATGTTTCCAAGAAATGACTACAATAATGATATGTTTCCAAGAAATGACTACAAGTATTTTATATAGGGAATTCAATTTTTATTGAAAAATGAATTCCGGAATATTTTGGAATTACATATATGAAATTTGGAGTACAACTGGTTTATATGAAAGATTTGTGATGTGTCTTGCTGATAAATGTTTACCTGTAGATCAGTTACATAAATTAGCTCTTAAATTACTTCAAACAGCTAAGCCTGCTGGTTATAACATGGGAAAATTTTCATTGGCAATGAAAATAAAATAAAAAATGAAGATTTTATTAGTCTTGAAAGCTTGTTTTTCTTTGATTTATTATATGAGATAATGGATACATTATATGAGAGAATGGCTGAAAATCAGTTCATTACACTGGGACTTATTTCCTGGTAATATTACATTTAAAAATGGTCATCTCATTGTAAATAAAAGTGCAGAATGTGCTATTAAACTTGGTCAAGACTTCATTGAAACTTTTGGAAATGAAGAACATAACCAAGCTAAATCACAGGTCTCCATCATCTTTCACAAAAAATTAAAATAAAACATAATCTAAAATCTGATATACCAGGCCACAAAAATAACTCTTATGGTATTTTTTAAATATTTGTAAGTGACCTTGCTCCTTATGTACAAAAATTGAAAAATTTGGTAATTTTGAACTCCTACCACAGGAGTAATAATGAAAACTTTTTTTCTTGATACAAAAGCAACCACAAAAGTTATTATAGTATCTTTTTATATTGACTTTGGTTTTTTATGCCCCACATATACATACATATACATATATACATTATATATATATATATATATATATATATATATATATATATATATATATATATATATATATATATATATATATATATATATATATATATATATATATATATATATATATATATTATTTTATGTATATATAATTATTTATACTTTTGTTATTATATGTATAAGTTAAGTTAGTGTATTCTACAAAAAGAGTTCTCAATGTTCTTAAAGAACAGAGCATTATAATAAATTAGTAAAAACCCTTATCTAAAGATCTTCATTGAAGATCATTGAAATATTAGAAGATCTTTAGATAAGTGTTATTACTAATTTATTATTGCTCTGTTACATATATATATATATATATATATATATATATATATATATATATATATATATATATATATATATATATATATATATATATATATACATACATACATATATATATATATATATATATATACATATATATACATATATATATATATGTATATATATATATATATATATATATACATATATATATATATGTATATATGAGAGAGAGAGAGAGAGAGAGAGAGAGACACATACATATATATATATATACACATATTTATATATATACACATATTTATATATATACACATATTTATATATATACATATTTATATATATACAAATATTTATGTACATACACATATTTATACACACACATTCAAACATACATACATACATACATACATACATACATACATACATACATACATACATACATACATACATACATACATACATACATACATACATACATACATACATACATACATATACTTAATACTTTATAAAATACAACATATACTTAAAACTTTATATAATATAAGTGTAACTTAAAATTTAAACAATTAAAGTGCAAACCAACAAAACAAAGCTTATTTAAATTTATATTCAAATAATACAATAATAGCTTAAAGATACATAAAGTAAATTACAAAAATAATAAAGCAAATAAAATTATATAGAAAAATAAGATCAAAATAAAATATATACAACTTATTGTATAATTGAATTACATAAAAAGCAAACATTTCACATTTTTAACAATCAGATAACAAATGAAAACCATAACAATATAATAAAAAAACACACAATAAAAACAGATGGCAAAAAAAATAAACTGTTTCTTATATAAGTAAATTGATTAATAAAAACTTCCATGAGACAAATTCATTGAACTTGAAATGAAAAATATTGATATTTTAAATGGATAATTTTACAATAGCTGCAATTGTATTTCTCAACATTTTT